ATTTTGAGTTCCAGGGATGTGAGCAGGGGTGGGGAGAGATATGATCTAAATACAGGATGATCCGTGCCTAGAACTCTTTGGGATGTTTTGAAAAAATAAACTGCCCCTCTCTAAGGGAAAGGTAGCCTCTTTATCTGGCCCCCTGGGACAGTGGTCTGACAGTAGTAATGGAAATAATCACGACAGGGGCCCTGGTCCTGGCTCTGCAGCTTCTTGGAAAGTGACTTAGGACACGCCTCCTCTCTCCCTAGGCGGCCCTGCCTTCCACTGAGAAATAAGAATACTAATTCCCCACTCTGGAGTCAGTCAGAGCCTCACGTGGACCGGAGTCACACACTCTGGGAAACCCTTCGGAGACACTGCCGTTTGGGACGAACACGAGGGCTGGCCTCCCAGACCTGACACTCTCCTGACGTTACCTGGTGACACTCGACCACAACCCGCGCAGCTGGGGCCGTGCGGCGCCTTCTCAGGGTGGCGCAGAGTGTATCACTGCCCTGCCGGAGGCTGAGTGCACTTGGGCGCTTAGAGAATCTCCTCAAAGCTAATAATAAGCTTGTTAGCAGGTTGCAGTAAGCAGAACGGTCACGCGTTCATTAATTTTATTAAGAGAAGGGTTTCTTGCCAGCAGACCTGGAAGGCTGGGTTGGGCCCAGGGCACTTCTGCAGGCAGAGCATCTGTAATGAAATGGCCCAGCCACTCCCTCAGGTGTTTGTGGTGTTTGGCAGGAGTGGCTGGGGCCACAAGCACCTGTCGGGGGGCCAGGAGCTGTGCCCCAGCTTACTGGTGTCCACCTCGTCACCTCTGTTTCCTGCCCCATGGAGTTTGGCTTGGAACTGTAGAGTGGGGAGCGCATGAGGGTGGGGATGGAGGCCCCCTTAAGGAGGGCAGGATGGATGGGCTAGCTCTCCTCCAGCCTGGGCGTTGATGGGAGAGGGAGACAGTACTACTGCATAGCTAAAATACGCCAGGATGCTATGCCCTTTTTATGCTTTATCTTGGATTTTCATAATAGTACAATGAGCGAGGTTAGAGAATCTGCTTCCAGAAAGAAAATGGTAAGAGAATAAAGGCACAGGAGGCTTCCTGGGGCCATCTGAGAGCAGGGTGAAGTAAGAGTCTGTGAGAAAAGCATGATCAAATTCCATGAGGTGGCCTTCCAGAGGTTTCTTGAACCAGGTGGCACATGCTCTAAAAAGTCAGCGAGAGCCCTGGCCAGGTGGCTCGGTTGGTTGGAGTGCTGTCCTGTCCACCAAAAGGATGCAGACTCGATTCCTGGTCAGGGTTGCTTATGGGAGGCGACCGATCGATATTTCTTTCTCACGTCGATGTCTCCCTCTGTCACTGTCTCTCTCCCCCTTCCTCTCTCTCTCTCTAAAATCAATGAAACATATCCTCAGTTGAGGATTTTTAAAAAATCAGCATGAAAAAAAAATCCCACAACCCAGAAGCTTTCTTTGTCTTGGAGTCAGAGGTGTGGGAGACAGGAGAGCGAGGCCCAGGAGAGCTCTTCACGGGGAGCTGTCCTGGGTAGGGGCCTAGCAGAGGGAGGGGCAGGCAGGGCAGGCGTCACTGTGGCGGGGGGTGGGCCCAGCCCTGGAGCCTTGAGAGGTGGAGGGTGGGTTGGGCCGAGTTGGGCCCTGGGGTTGGACCAGGGAGAGAGGGCGCACACAGTGGAAGGGAGGACAACGCAGAACTGACCATCACAAACAAGATCTAAACAGACAGAAAGGGCCGAGCTGGCGTCCCTCGCAGCTGCATCCGCTGTGCGTGTCTGAGCAACAGGCCCTGGAGGTGGCTGCGGGGAGTGACTGATTTGTCAAATGAGAACACAGAGGGCTGGGCTGTGGGGAAGAGGGAAACATAGAGACCAGATGGGATTTTTCATTTTTCCACTTCCTCTTCCTTCCTATCCAGTTTCTTTTGTGCATTTTTGTCCCGTCCCTCAGTTTTAGAGCCACCAACTCTGCTGAGTGACGGCGTCAGCCTGGAGGTTGGCTGGCCCGTGTGGAGGGGGCAGTGCTGACCACAGGCCTGGTGCCCTGGCATGTGTCTGCCACAGGGACAAGACCTGTCCAGAAGGTCCCAGGCTACAGGGAGGTGGAGGAGGGCAGCGTAGCTCTGTTTCTGTGGGGTTCCATCACTGTTCTTGGTGTTTTCCTCTCATATAAGTGAATTGTCTGCCATCTTGTGGCAGAGGCCTGGTACTGCCTGGGCCCCCACCATCATGCCTCCCTGCCCGCTGCTCCCCAAGGCAATGCTGCCCCTCCGGGCTGGTGGAGCACGGTCGGGGGCAGCTGGAATGGAGAGGAGGGGGCACTGAGGGGGGCCTGGGCAATAGTGTCGTGGGCACAGCCTCCCTGCCTCTGATAGGCACGTTTCTAGGAGGTCATCCTGGTTCAAACAAGGAGGGCGGCTGCCTGGGAAAGAGGAGCCCCTGCGGGCAGTGCCAGGAGGTCGCCCTCAGAGAGGTCAGAGCCCGCAGGAGGTGGGTGAGCAGCGAGGGGGCACGGCTGGGAGCCGGCCCTGGTCCAGAGGGTCACGCGGGCAGGGGAGGGCGGAGGATCTCAACAGCGGGCAAGCACCCATTCAGTGCGGCACAGCCGGGAAGCTTCTGAGGTCAGTATCCAGTGTCACCTCAGGATGCGGAAGACTCCTGTCGCCACCTGCAGAGAGCCAGAGGGTCGCGCTGGCCCACGGGTGTGCCTGCGACCGTGTGAGTGGACAGGCCCTCTCAGGGTGTCCCTGGGCTTCAGACCTAGTGAGGGTGTGAGCTCCACTTGTGAACCAGAAACCCCGGGAGCCAACCTTTTATTTGGTACTTGGACAAAAATCAGGCATGACCTTAAATCAGCCCTAAACACTCCCTCTCTGAACGTGGGCCAGGAATCCCAAACCCCAGCCCTGCATCGGGGGTTTTTTTTCCATAAGCTCTCGATCTGGACACCCCCCAGACCTCTTGCTAATCCTCTTTACCAGAAAACGCCACTGCCACAGTCAGCTAGTGTCCCCCAGCCCTCCTTCGGCAGCATTTCTTCACAGCAAATACTAGTGGTAACTTCAGTGACCGCGTTGCCACTCTACACTGTGGGTGCTGATCCGTCTTCCCCCACAGCGAGGTCGTTCCTGACTCTCACTCTACCAGGACAGGTAACTGGTCCCAGGTTCTCATTCTCACTCAGACTGTGTCCATAAAACACTGCTGGCACCAAATGCTGTGTCAGCCACAGACACAGAAAGCATGTGAGCTCTTCCAAGCAGGGTGGATCTGACAAAGGGAGTTTGGTGCTTCCAGAATCATTAGGAAGGCTGTTGGAGTGAAGGTCAGGGAAAAGCAGCCATGGATTTCAAGATATCAAGGAGTTACAGAACGTGCTAAAAATCATTCTCGCTGACTCCTGTTGCCCGCAGCGTGAGAGCGGACAGTTGGCCGGCGGCGCTGGCAGCCTCAGGTCTGCTCCCTGAATCTACCTTGCGCCCCTCCTCACAGCTGCACCGAGAAGAGCGGCTTCTCCTTTGACCCAGCCAGCCAGCCAGATGCCACGTGCGCCTCCCCCACGGGCGGCATCTGCCCCGGAGCAATGCTGGCAACAAGCTTTCAGCCTGTGCAACCCCGGGGCGAACTGAGAATGCCAGGGACCGAGACATAATATCCGACACATACTTTTAAAGATAGATGATAATAATAGTACTTCCTTTGGATGGCTGTTGTGAGGCTAAAATTAACATTGTGAAGTCTTCGTGCAGAGTGTGGCATATGGTAAACCCTCCATAATTGCTAGTTTACCAAAAAGTGTCAAAACTCAAATCAGAATGGCTCCTCGTTGTTATTTCTAACCCCTGTAAGGAAACTGGCTGCTTCTGAGCGGTGGGGTCTGATCCGCCCGCGGCCGCGAGAACCTTGCCCCTGACCCTCCCAGCCTGCGTCCCAGGTCCTCAGTCAGGTCAGGCTCAGAGGGCTGGGTGGGGATCCAGGAAAGGGGTGAAAGTTCTCAGGGAAAAACCATGGCAGTGACTCATGCTGGGTGTTAGGGTTGGGTTCCTGCCGCCCTGCCGCTGTGAGTGAGGACTTCCTGTCAAAGGGACCGAGGGACAGTCAGAGATGGGTCAGCTCCCAAGGGGAACACAAGTCCCAGGCCTCGCCTGGCACCCTGTCCAGAGCGGAATCCGCGGAACCGGGGCCGAGTCTCTGTAGCCTTGTGCTCAAATGCCGCGAGCAGCCTGGAACAGGGAAGAATTAGGGCACAGCTGAAATCCAAAAGGGAAAGGAAACGCGCTGGGATCCGCTGGGAACAATGTCTGTTTCTTAATCCGTCTCCTGCCCCAAATAGCTCCGCTCGCCTCCCCCTGCCCGTGTTTACGTGCCTGTTTCCCTCCCTGGCAGCAGGTGCCGCCAGGCCTGCAAGTAGGTCACCGAGGGCGGCCACGAGCCTGCACGCGCCCTCAGGCCCCGTCCTCGCTGATCTCACTGCCCAGCAGCCCGGGCCTGGAGTCACAGAGCCCAGACCCCAAATGCCCCTTGGCTCCTCAGGGCGTCCTGGCAGGGCGTCCTGGCAGGGCCCCCGCTCCCTGGAACCACAAGGAGAGCGTGGGAGTCCTCCGCCCTGGCCGTGAGGGGGCAGGGGGCAGGGGGCCCCACCCCTGAGCTGGAGGCGGAGGGGGCAGCCCTGGGTGGTGCTGCGGCCTCCCTGCGGGGTCCTGACGGTGCCCCTTCACCCCCCACGGCCCAGTGCAGCCCTGCTGAGTGAGCTCGAGGACCCCATTCCTCCCGGGCAGCCGGGAGCCACGCGTCCCTGCCGCTTACCCTGCGGAATCAAGGACATTATACATCGTCCAGAACAATCCAGCTGGGGAGTGGCAAAGCCCAGCCCCGCAAGGACCCACTGTACATCCCCAGCTGCCTGTGTGGGCCTCCCCCCTGAGCCCGACATCTCCCACCCTCCTTCTTGGAACCATCTCTGGCCAGGATCGGGTCCTGATGGTGCCTTTCTCTCCACAGGTTCTGTCAAAGCATGGCTACGGCCCGATCACGACCGAGATCCAGGAGAGACAGACTTTCTACTACGCGGAGGATTACCACCAGCAGTACCTGAGCAAGAACCCCAACGGCTACTGCGGCCTCGGGGGCACCGGAGTGTCCTGTCCCCTGGGCATTAAAAAGTAATTTCTCCCTACGTGGTCGGCCCTTGAAGTAACTGCGAAAACACTTTCAACAAATCGGGCAGTTCTTTTGTAGTTCACTACAGTGGCTTTTTGAAGTGCACAAAGCACAAAGGCCTTCGTAAAATCCGGAGCATTAAGGTATAATTTACATCAAGTGCCATGGCAAGTTGATAACATGGAATTTATCTTCTAATTAGTTGTGGTGGGAGGAGAGCTGTGAAATTTTTTGGATCATTTGGGGTCTGAATGAGGATAATGAATATGCTCTGTTCGCTTTTCCCTTGTCTGGGAGCCTGCCCTGGAAGCCGCGGAGGGGAGGGGGAGGCTGGCGGGCCGGAGGGGGCTTGCCGGACAGCCTGCATCTGAGCCTGTCCCACCCGACGCGCCCTGCGCCCTCCAGTGCCTTACAGTGTGCAGACATTTATAGCCTCAATGAATCATTCACTGCAATACTTTGTTCTTTAATCCTGTAGGTGTGTAAGGGGCTCGCTCTCTCTCTCTGCGGCCCTGCTGTGGCAGAGAAAATGGGAGTGAGCTTGATCAATTCTAGCGCCTTGCTTACAGCTATGAGAAATGCTTGTTCTAATAAAAGTCTACAGTCTAATAATACAAACTGTGTGATGTCTCATCCGTCTTATACTTATTTAGGTAGGATATTTCTAAGTATTGTAAGATACAAGCCTCAGAGTCATTCTCCCCCAGATGGGAAATAAGATTGAAATCTTTGGAAAACACGTACACCTCTGGCTCCTTGCAACTTCAGTTATAACTTTTTCACACGCATGTTACAGCTGTCACATCAGGAGCTATTCTTGTTAGAGAGGACAGACACGTGCAGTCCCTGCCCTTAAGAGTCTTTATATTCAAGACAAGGGATGGGGGGCAGAAGCCTTAAACATATAAACACATGAAAAAATTATTGCAGGTCCTGAGAAATGGTAAGGAAGTGATCAGTAGGAAACAGCAGTAAGATGTGTCTTGGTCTCTGGAGTCACCCTGAGGGCTGGCTTAGCCACTTTGCTCAGGGGAGGCCTCGGTGAGGGGGTGAAACTTAAGGGGAGAATTGAATGATCTTAATGCAGCAAGAGAGACACAGAAACGCAGGCTGGGGGAGGAGAGCAGAGCTATTTGGGGCAGGAGACAGGCTAGGAAATAGACATGGATCCCCACATGTTTAGGCTGTTTCTCTTCCCTCCTGGGTTCCTGCTGTGCCCTGAGCATTATCTAATCACTGTCCGCATCCCAACTTAGGTTGCTGGAAGGAACTACTTTCCAAGTAGAAGGACCAGGATGTGTAAATGGCCGAAGACAGCGAGGAATGTGTGGTGATGGAGAAACAGAAAGGCCAGGGGCTGGAATGCTGTGAAGTCCGGAGGGTGGAGCCCCCATGATGAGATTAGTGCCTTGTATGAGCGGTTGGTCCCCAACTTTTTGGGCACCAGGCACCAGTTTTGTGAAAGACAGTTTTTCCACAGACTGGAGTAGGGGGTGGTTTTGGGAAGATTCAAGCACCTTACATTCGAGCACACCACCTGCTATGAGGCCCGGTTCCTAACTGGCCCAGTCGGTACCCGTCTGGGACCTGGAGGTTGGCAGCCCCTGTGAAAGAGACAAGAGCTCCCTCTCTTGGTCATGGGAGGACACAGCCAGGAGGCGGCTGGCCACAGGCCAGGACCCTCACCAGACACCACATCTGGTGGCAACTAGATCTTGGACTTCTCGGCCTCCAGTGTGGTAAGAAACTAACGTTTGCTGTTTAAGGCACTTAGTTCATGGCATTTTTGTTATAGCGGCTCACGCTAAGACAGGCAGCCTGTGCTGATATTTTTTGTGCCTCCAGATCCAGACTCAACTCTTCATCCTGCTCTTTGTCCCCGACTCCTGAATGGACTCTAACACTAGGCCTCCTTGCTCTCTCACTTTAATTTGGATCTGGCCAACAGGAAGCACTGGTAGGAGATTGAAGGGGGAAGATGGGTGAAGTCAAGGTATCCGCTCTCCTTGCAGGTCCCCGTGGGCTGGCTGTCTAGGAGGGGGTGGGAGCTCCATACTGTTGCTCGTTATGACCTACAACACCATCTTTTCGAAGTTCACCTAAAGCGTATTCACTTTCTACTTATTCCCTGTATGAATGAACCTCTCCTTAATTATCCACTTTGAGGGTGCCACCTGTTTCCTGGCAGGACCTCACAGATGCCAACGGGGAAGGTAAACGTTCTTCCATAATTAATTCCAAAAATTATTACGAGAAGATGCTCTTGTTTTATGTTCCTGTCAATGAAGGAAAAATATTTTTAAAATACTATACTATGTAAGACTACAGATGTAAGCTCTGGAAGGACTTCTGTCAGTAATTCAGGTGACCATCCTCATTCTGTAGGTGAGGAAGCTGAGGACCCAAGTGCCACAAATTAATGTACGTGTCAGAAGGAAGCCTCCCTCCTGTGGCTTCCAGGCCATGGGCCTGGGTCCTGGCCTCTGGGGCCACCAGGAAAGTCTGACCCTCTTCTTCAGGAGATAGAGACTGGAGAATATTTGAAAAAAGAACTTACTCTCCCCAAATAACCTCTTTTAGGCTAAATAGCTTTCTAGTTACCTTCTAAAATCCTTATTCGCACGTGCTGGCCAGGAATACTAGATGTTCTGGGTCCAAAAATGAAGGCACTTTGTCTAAGGTTGTGTTGTCCAACATGGTGGCCACTAGCCACGAGTGGCTATTTTAGATTTAAATTAGTTAAAATTAAAGATAATTAAAAATCCAGTTCCTCACTTGCACTAACTTCAAGTACTCAGTAGATGGCCACAAGTGGCTAGTGGCTACCATATTGGATTTGCAGATACAGAACATTTCCACTGTCACAGGGAGTTTTCTTGGATAGCACTAGAGCAAGAAAGGAGTTTCGTGGGACTTGAATGTCCTTTGGTTTTATGATTTCCTTTTCTTAATGCAGTCAAGTCATCTGGCTGGCCCATAGGATTAATAAAAGCCTAAGTATTTTTCATGTGCACTAAGAACTCTCCAATCATATGCTTTTACCCTTAATCTATCATCATTTTAGCCTTTGTTATAGGAATGTACATTCACTCTTCATTTTGTTTATTTAGGCCCTGCAGTTCAGTTTGTTAAAGTAATTTAACGTAGAGTCTGACATCTGAAATAATTGCTTTCCTCTCCTAGTTTTGTGTCATGCATGGGCCTCATTAGCATCTGTCTCCTCAATATCCTCTGGAAAGTCATTATGCAAAATATCGACCTGGGCAGTTCACTCAGAAAGACATGTCACTTGTTTAAGGTCTTAGAGCATCTATTACACTTGGCATGCCTTGTCATTCTGATGCCACTCTTGACCCTTCCTCCCTCAGTCTCTACTAGAAATTGCTGCTAGGTCTCATGCCTTTTCCTGCTGAGCCCAGATATGCATTCGGAATTCTCCTCCACAAAGGACTTTGGGCAGCTACTGCCAACCAACCAGACTCGGTGTTCCAGGTAAGACACCATTTCTTCCAGGGAGACACCAAATCTTTGACTAATAATTGGGCTATAACATCTTAACCAGTTGTAAATTCACCTAAGAGAGCAGTTATACAAACAGATATTGTTTTATCCAGAACATGGTAATCAGAGAAGGGGGCAGATGCTTTGTTGACATCTAGAAATACCATAGAAACCAATGGGGAGATCAACTAGTACAAGACAGACCTGACTGAAAATGCTAGATCTGCCCCATATAGGTTGAATGACATCAAAAAAGTCACATGATCTCTCTGAGACTCAGTTTCTTGGAGTGTAAAACTGCAGTGAGATGTCATGCTCTACCAGTTGCAATGTCTAAACTCAAAAAGACTGGCCATGCCAAGTATTGGGACGGATGTGGAGGACCTGGAGATTTCTTACGCTGCTGCTGATAATGTAAAATGTTACAATCACTTTGGCAAAGAGTCTTTTAGCTTCTTAAAAAATTAAACATGCAACTTTCTTATGACCTAGCCCTTTTATGCCTAGTTATTTTTGCAAGAAAAACGAACACCTATGTTCACACAAAGACTTGTACGTGAATTCCATGGGAGCTATATGTGCCACGGTCACAAACTGAAAACAACCCAAATGTCCACCAACAGGTGAATGGGAAATAAACATGTCGCGGTACATTCTCACAATGAAATACCACTTAGCATTAAACAGGAATGAATCACAGAGACATGAAACAACATGGGTGACTCTCAATATGCTTATGCTGAGCGTAAGGAAAAAGGAATGACAGAGAGTAAATACTGTATAAGTCCAGTTATATGCAATTCTAGAAATGCAAATTAATCTGTAGGGACAGAAAGGAGATTGCCTCAGGACTGAGTTGAGAGGATATGGAGTGGGATCATTTGATACCGAGCAAATAAATAATAAATTATATAATATATAAGTGGGCTGACTATTCTGTTTTATTAATTTGTCTATCTTTATGCCAATACTACACTGTCTTGATTATTATAGATTACTAGATAAGTCTCTTTTTTCACTCATTGATCAAACATTGATTGTTTGCCTGCTATGCATCAGTCACTGGATTAGTTTAATGTACAATTAATATCTTACAATGCACATTTTTATTCTGTTTAGCAAATTAATCATAACAGCCAACCTATTTCAAAATTTGTACTCAATAAATGCATTAATTTTTAAATAAAATGATGGAAAAATTAGCCCTTTAAAAAGTTATGCATGCACTTATCGTGGGATGATGCGGTTTAAATTCACTGCCCAATCATGCTGACTGCTAAATAAGTCTTACAATCAGAGAGTGTGACCGGTGAAAATCAGTGAAAGGTCTGAAGTTCAAGCTCCCCTCTAGTTTCAAATAAAGTACTTAAATGGTCTTGTCCATCATTCAGCATGAATATTCCCTGTATTTCTCTCAAGTTTGATTTTGTTCTTTATTTCAAGAAAACAAAAGTGCTATGAACAGTCAAAACCTATTTTCTCTGATTTTCTCTGGCCCTGACAAGTTCACGTAAAACCACCGCCCAGGGGCTGAATTTTCCGAGCAGCCTCCCCAGGGGCCGCGAGCCGTCACGGGAGCGGCGGCCGCCCGGGGAGCTGCACTGCCCTGACCTCGGGAAGGGACACGGGCAGGAGCTGATCTGTAAAAACTCAGGTATCAACACAGTTGTTTTTAAATCTCTCTTTGGAAATGTAAGCTTTAATAGGGGTGCAAGTGGGCTAAATGGTAATGTGGAAAAATACAATAAAAATCAAAATTTTAAAAAAGCTTTAATAGTTTATATCTTCACTCTGTAGTGTATTAAATCAGTTTATACTCTTAAGCAAAATCAGGTAGTGTAAGTTCTCCAACTTCGTTCTGTTTTAGTGTTGCTCTTAGTTACCTTAGGCCCTTTGAATTTCCTGTGAATTTTAGAGTCAGCTTGTCAATTTCTACAAAAACGAATTCTGCTGGGATTTCAACTGAGGTTACATTTACTCAGAAAATCAATTTGGGGAGGATTTACAGCTTAAAAATATTGTGCCTTGCAATTTATGAACACAATAGAGTTTTCAGTTTAGTTAATGTATGTTTCTATTGTTACTTAATTTCTCTTAATAA